TGACACAGATATGACATAATATTATTTTGTCCCCTCCTGTCTTCTTCTTTCCAGCTTTTGTAAGCCAAAAGAATAAACAGTTAAGTGCATTTTATCTTAGAATGAGCTGTTTAGTGCTACTAACTGAGCATTCTCTAATAATGCAAGCCTGCAAACAACAGCTGGTAATTGGACAAATGGCTGGTAAATTTCAGGTTTTGACTGGCAAGAGCTTAATCTGGTAGCACTGAACCAAAATTGCTGCTATCTGTCTTGACAGGGGCTTTTGAGCTTCCGAGAACAATAGAGATGCATAGAGGACGGGTCACACCTGCTTGCTAGCCCAAAAAGTCATCAGCTGATCTCACAACTTATTTATTTTTAAAATTTAAATATGAAGCCCAACTCGCATGTGAGACCTTATGCATCCTATGGTGCAAAAAGGATGATGAAACTTACTTTAGCCAAGAATTTGAATAAATATGTATCTTTGATTTTTTTGTAGGAGCAATATTCAGTGATTACCTTCCAATAAGGAGATATTATTTTTTCACTCCCTGGGTGAGTATTTGACTGTGTTCCAAATATACCTATTATAGAATTTGAGTGAAACAATTTCTAGTATATTCTGTTCTGGGCTACCAGTGATCTATCAGGCCAACATTTTTTAAATTTTTTGTCATGTCTTTTTCTTTGTAGGGAATAAAGGAGAGATGGAATGCCCTCAAAAATGGCTTGTGGACTGTGTATAGGTAAAGAGATTTAGTCAAAATGAACAATGAATTGTATTCAAGAAGATTTGAAATGCAGTAGGTGGTTGCCCTTGCCCAGGTCAAGTAGCCACTCTGACTCGCACCTGGTCTCACACGACTGGTTCAATAATGTTTATTATTATATCGCTAGATCCGTGAGCGGGAATCAAATCCTGCGCTGTGATTGGCTACTCGAGCGGGCAAGATGGAGCTATCTTGCCTGCTCGGGACTACCCGCCGTGTCCTGCAAGAAAAATTTCCCCAAAAGCCATATAATAAATTCTTTATTGACCAAGCTTGTTCGGTCAAGATGGCTGGATATTGGCCTCCGTCCATAAACACGCAAAAAAAGAACTTGGTCAATATACAGCCATCTTGACCGAACAAGCTTGGTCAATAACCCATACAAAGTACAATGGAGCAAACCAAGCAAATTGATGGCTCTAGCTCCAAAACAATTCTGATAGCTACCAGGGGTTTCAATAAGGGTCAGGCACTGGGCAACTTGATCGGCTGTGAGGATGATTTTGCCCGCCTGGTTTGACCATCTAGAGGAAAGTTTTTCCTCTAAAGAAGTTCAGTTCAAAACATTTTGCCAGCCTGTGAAAACCAGTTGTCTTCCTGCTACTGCTACACTGATGACAAATGCAATTACAAGCTTACAAGAGCTGCTACACTTGTGCCTAGCATGTTACAGCCCCCCTGTAGGGGGCACTCCCATATAAAAAGGACGTGGGTGCTTGTTGGAAATTTTGAAGAGAACCCCTAGGAGGTACCAAGATCCTGTTTTGTGGGCACGGCACCCCCGTCCTTTATATATCAGTCCCCCCTTGTGCCTGGGTTACAGCTCCTGTCATGTGGAAAGCAATAAACAAATTCTGTAACAGCTTCCTCTAGAAGGTCAATTTAGCTGGCTTATTCACAATAGACTACCTGAACCTTACCTGCTGGAATTCCAGTAATTACCTGGTGTCATCGAAAATGCTATAGTGGAATTTTTCATTACGCCAGGCGACCAAGTAAATAAGCAAATTAAAGTTTTGTCACAAACAGTTTTTACTCATTTAGTTTTCTCTCTCTGTTTTCCTTCTGTAGCCTCGCCGTGGTAAGAAAATATGTCAAACCATTTAAGATCAGAGAATTTGCTGAACAGGCTNTTTTTTTCTCCCCTAAGAGGTACCAGCTCTTACATAACACATTATCTCCTGTCATATTTTTTCGGCTCGACACCCCAAAAGGCACCGAAAAAGCTCCTGCTGTGGAACTTTTGATGCTAAACAGCCTAAGAGGTACTAAAACCACTTTTTTAACCGCTAAAAGGTATGACGAGCACCCCCATCCTTTATGTATTAGAGCCTCCCCCTGCCCCCGGGTTACAGCTCCTGTCATGTGGAAAGCAATAAACAATTTCTGTAACAGCTTCCTCTAGAAGGTCAATTTAGCTGGCTTATTCACAACAGACTACCTGGTGTAATTACCTGGTGTCATTGAAAATGCTATAGTGGAATTTTTCATTAAGCCAGGTGCCCAAGTAAATATGCAAAAGTTTTGTCACAAACAGTTTTTACTCATTTAGTTTTCTCTCTCTGACTGTTTTCCTTTTGTAGCCTTGCCATGGTAAGAAAATATGTCAAACCATTTAAGATCAGAGAATTTGCTGAACAGGCTCAGAATATTTACATTGATGTAAATAAAGCCCTTATTAGGTGGGTCTGCAGAACATAGTGAATATATAGATGCTAGGCTTGCTGTCAATTCATCCCAGTCTAGAAAATAATTACACCGTCCCAGGGAACATCCAAACCCTCCCCAAGGATTAAAGTCGCCCAAGAGTCCTAGTGGGTAAACGATTCAAAAGTCTGCTACTGAAATTTTCAGAGAGGTCACCGTTGGGGTTGTCAACCCAAATAACTTCCCATAGGCAGGGTAGGGATATTATCTGCCATACATTCAATAGGATAGCTGGCATTTGTGTCATGTAATGCAGTATAAAGGCTGATTATAAAAGTATAGGTAGAGCTAGGTTCAGTCAAGATTGTTTGAGGTTAATGTACTAATAGTCAAGGGTTTGTCTCTGGAAATTTAAGACTGACACTTTGTCCTCGGTGTGACCTTTCTGCATTCAGCTCTTCAGCTTAATTAAAAC